TTACGCTCCTACGAATTAAATTTAACTTTTTCCTTGTCTTAAACAATCATTTACATATACTACCGCACCAACAACTTAAGACAATATACGTTTGTTTATGGTTGTTACATCATTTCATCTTTAGAATAAGCTTTTGTGTGCTATTCCTTTCTTTTATTATTTTTGTACGTTGAACTTTTGTTTATAACAGAAATGAATCATGTTGAGACTACTTCGAGTCAAACAACAAATGGTACGAACCATGTGGTTCTGTCTTTGGTCATACCTATATCAAACCCTCACATCCCACATGGGAAAAAATCGAAAAAGTTTGTAAGTAAAAAATTCCAACAGTTTGCACATATGTAGTGAGTAGCTTTAGTATTCACCCACAATTCCTTAGTATTTCCTACTAAGTTTCATTCAGAAACGACCACTGCAAGATTTATGTCTTCTATCTTGTTAAAAGGTTGTCATATTTTGTTTTATTAGCCTGAACATTTTGTCCCTTGAAACTCTTTAGCTTCCGACAACCTTGGATCGTTGTCCCACCTTGCCGCAACTATAACAGTAGTATTTGAACTTTTTAGGAGCCTTTGAAGAATGAGATTGCCCTTTCTCATTGTGCTTCCTCTTTTTGGGAGCATTGAAACTTCATTTCACAATATTGGTCTTTAATTCCATCAATTGAAGTGCACCCCTCCTCTTTTCAGATTTGCTATTGTCTTCTTATATTTTCAATCGAACAATGATACCTTCAACTTTAATTTCCTTACACTTATGCTTCAGGTAATTCTTGAAATCCTTCTATTAAAGAGGTAATTTCTCGATCAATGCAACAACTTGAAATGATTCGTTGAGTTTCATTTCTTCGGCATGGATATCATTTAGTATAATTTGAAGTTTTTGAACTTGGAATGTAAAAGTCTTTCTTTCAATCATTGTGTAATTCAAAAAATGATCGAAAATATATTTCTTCGTGCAACATCTTTGAGGATAACAAAAATTAAATTAGATTTGTTGAGAATGTGCTTGTTTGAATTTCATTATATGAGCATTTTCAAGATATTCTATTTTTAAAGAGCATATTCTACAATTTAGAGAGCATCTATAAATTTAAATAGTAAAAAATTTAAGTACTCCAACATACTCTTTATATTTAACACTTACTCCTTAAAAATATTTATTGGTTCTCCCTACATTTTATTTTCACTAATTTCCTTCGAAATTAATAGTAAGGATGGAATTTGGGTGGAAAGAAAATGAATTCCAGGGAATTAAATTGCCTAGAATTCATTTTACTGGGAATTGTCAATTAATTGTGTTTGATTGGTATAATTTTCCACATGAAAAATGTTGAAATTTTGGATCTTTTGATATTCGTTTGACTTTGTTTTCCATGGAAATTGTCCATTAAAGGGGAAAAAAAATTTACAATTGGGGATAAAATTTGTTTCCATTGCCAAAAAAAAAAAAAGTTACCTGAAAATTGATTTTCCACAAAAGCATGGAATTGGAACCGTGTGAAGCATAAATTGGAAAATAAATTGCCAAGAAAATTATGCCAATCAAACATTGCAAATGGTGGAAGATGGAATTGAATTTCCAAGTTCCATGGAATTCTTGCCAAATCAAGTAGGCCCTTATTTTCCTCCATTGAAAATTAAAATATTTTAAATGCATTTAATTTTAGAGAGTGAGATTGACATAATTTTTAGGGTTGACTCTTTGAAATAAAGAGTATGCTATGTTTAAACATCCTCTCGGAGATGCTCTAATCCCCTTGTAATTTGAAGTCAAACATTATAATTTTAACTAAATATTCATAATTACTAACCACTTATTATCAGCACATTTATTGAAACTCATTACTCTTCATTATTATCTCATTATATCTTTTTTCACAAAACAATGTGAGTTACCTTATGGAAGGTCCCATTAATTATAAGTTTTGTTGACATTTAATGATCGTTGCTACATCAACTCTCTATATAACAACAAATTATGCACCTCTTTAACCATGCTCCTACCTTTGTGGATACCCCAATTTCATATTCATCCATTTCCTTTTCTTCTTGTGAAAAAATTATGATGAGGGGTTTGTTTGCAATCATGACGCTTATGTTTCATGTTCGTGGAATCCCACAAGAAAAAGATCAAAACTTCGTAGAAACGATTTGCAGTAACACCCCGAGTTATCAACTATGCATATCTACTCTTAGAGCAGATCATACAAGTATCAAAGAAGATGCATCAGGTCTTGGTCTTATAATGGTGGTAGCTATGAAAGCCAAGGCCAAAGAAATGATGAAAGCCATTAAAAAACTCAGGGCTTTCAGACCCAACCTCAAAGATGTGTGGGAGGTTTTGAGATGGGATCCTAAGGTTGCTGCAAATAACATTGCAGATTCATCTATGCAAGCTGGTGTATGCAAGAGCAATTTGAACGAGGTTAAATCGTCGTTAACAGGACTTAACGATGCAATGTATGATCTCTGTGAAGTTGCTAAAGCCATTATCATAAATTTACTCTGATGGTGCGAAATGCAATATTGGATAAAGTAAAAGAAACTTAGATTTTGTCTTCCAAAAATAAAATAAGGATTGTGATTCCTGTTAGTTGTTTGTTGTTTTTGGTGGAGGCCCATTTTATAATGTTGCTGGTCTGGCCCAAGGTTTTGGCCCAAAATTCGGATCCATGAGTTGAAGATTCTGGACCCACATATAAATATCACTTTTCTCTTTTAGCGTTCGATAGATCGATTTAGGGCGCATCTTTTCTTTCTATTGCTCTCTTTCACATTTTTCTCTCTGTAGTTAGATCTCTATATTCTTGTGTGATTTTAGAGATAAGAGAGTAGATCTATGATCTCTTGTGTGAGTTCATGAGCATTGTGAAAATTGTCTGAATGATTCATTGCTGTTTTGAGTCGTGTACTGTAAACTCTATATTTTTACCATTGGCGATTTTAGTAGATTTGAGCTAAATCCTTAAACGGATGCTCAACGGGGATTAAGCGTTTGAAGCGGTCCCTGAACCTCAGGGCCTAAAGGCCAAAAATTCTTTGTGTTGTGATTCTTGTTATTTTTCTTCGTTTTCTTGTGGTTTTGTTACAAATCGGTTTTACAAACTTATCTGGGACCAATAGTGGTATCAGAGCTCTGGGATAGCTTGATTCGATTTGAATGGATGTTCTATTTTTGAAGAAATTTTTCAGATCTGCGTAGATCTGATCTTAAGCCTTTCCTATTTGAAAACTTTTGGGGTTTCTTTGAACTCATGCTGTTCTTTTCTTGACTTTGATTCAGTCTCATATGTATATATACAACTGCAAATTTTTGTTAAAGGTTCTGGTAAAACACGTTT